AGAATCTTCACGATGGTATTGTGGTCATGTTAACTGGACAGAGGCCAAAGGACAGCTGTTTCCCAAGACCCACACTTCTCTTTTTGGGTCTCTGTGTGGTGGGAACACCATGGGAGTTCTGCTACCATAGTATGAGATGTCTGTCACAGACAAGTGTGCGGCATGTCCTGCAGGTATATCACTGGACACTGATAAAAATGGCTGATGACTGCAGAGCACAGCCACTTCCTGCTGCTGGCCCATTCTCCAGCTCTGATTAACTACAGCTTTTCTCAAAAACATCCTTAGCACACATAGTGCCCACCTTCTCACCTCCCTTTCTTTCTTCAGTTCCTGCTGGTAAGAGGCGTTTATTTCCACTCAGCTCCTAGACCTTTGAGGATCAGGATTAGCTTGATCCTTTTAGTTAAATATCAGTGTCATTCTCACCCCTGGTCTCCTGTGCCTGTCAGTATCTGGTACCGACACCCAGTCCCCTCCTTGAAACTCCATCATCACTGGTGACCACCGGACACATCTCTACGCTCTCCTCATAGGTGGCTCCACTCATTGTCTCCTCCTCTCAGCTTTCTTGCTTCTACCTCCTCTCTGACTTTAGTGCATTTTCTGTGGGCTTTCCTTGTATTTGTGATTTCAACCACATTAGACCTTCATGTGGAGAGTTCCCAAACCCCACTCCCTGACTCCCAGGCTCTGCTATCTACTGTTTATCTTCACCTGGATATCTCAGAGGTTTCTCATCCTTGTAGGAACCAGAGAGATGGTGTTTTTCATGATTTCCTCCATCTGCAGGGCTAGCTGTGTGAATCATTAGCAGCTCGGTTCTTTCAATTACTCATGGCAACTACAGAATGATGTGTGACCTCTATGGACATTGGTGACATCTAGAACTATCTATGAGTAATCTGGAACACATGTGACAGAGACAGCAAACTCTTTCAACCTGCTTTCTTCAAACTAGAGGTTACAGTCATGATCTTAGACTATATAACTAAGACAGGTCACAGAAGCACTTGTCAAGTGTCCCTTGTGACATGATTGTGACAAGAACTACTCTTACTTCCTAGATAGGGCACAGACTGTGCTCACCAGTGACTGTAACAGGGGTTCTCAATACCCTGCTGCCTGTGCTCTGGCCACAGGTTCTAAGCCCTTCCACGTAACTTCCCCATGCACCCAGAGCTAAAGATGAGGCAGGCTGGGCTGTGGTGGCGCACACCTTTAATCCCAGCACTTGGGAGGCAGAGGCAGGTGGATTTCTGTGAGTTCAAGGTTAGCCTGGCCTACAGAATGAGTATAGAGCATGAAGTCCACCTGAGCCCTCTTGTCCAGGTCATATCCCTGTCCACTATAGTCCATTTCTCCCAGGACCCATATTCTTGTCTACCTGAAACCTCTACATCAGACACACAAACAAATAATGAGGAGCACAGTTCTCTCCAGAGCGCTGGGAAGATGCTAAGCACTGGTGATGTGGTGTTGACATCTGTGAAAGTCTTTGTGAGGGTTTAATGTTTCATTCCTTATTCTTGTAAGGCCACCTTCTGAAATTTACTTTCTGGTAAGTAAGCAAAGGTGTTGGAAGGTGGGGCAATCTGACTCCCCAGTTAGTAGGTGTTGGACTATCCCTTGCTGCTTTAGCTCCCTTGAGCAAAAGGATTCTTATTTAAGCAGCCAGCCAGCTACTCTGTTATGCAAACAACAGACAACTGAAGTACTCCCCATACTCACAGCTGGTTGTCTTGGTTCTCAAGGGCCAACCCCAGTCAGAGGGGTTTGGGGAGTTTGTAGGAGACTTTTTTTTTTTTTCACAATTTTCAAAGAACTCCAAATGACTCTGAAAGTATTTTTTACTAGAACCACAGTGGTAGGGTTTTCCCCCAGTGGCCAAGGAAGGGGGCCCCTGTGAAGAGGTGAGCTGTGGCTGGTCCAAACATTCTTAAGTTATAGACACAGGATGCCCTGGATTCTTTCAGAGTGGGCTGGAAAACAGGTGTCACAGCATTAGATCCAGTGAAGTTTCTCTTGAACACAGGTTTTCTTGTCTTTTTCCAGGAGCATAGGCTGAGCTGGCACCAGGAAGAAGAAGGAAGCAGAAGAGAAAGCATAGTAGGGTGTAGCTGGCTGAGAGAACACCTCTTAAGAAATCAGCAGGCAATGAGGAGGGACAAGGCAGCCAGCCCTTGACAGCAGCCGGGCACTTTCAGAATCTCCAAAGGACCGAGGAGAAGTCATCAGAAGGAGAGTGTGGAGAGCCGAGAGTAAGATGAGAAGAAAGTTAAGCATCTGTAAGGAGTCAGAGGACAAAACAGCCTTAGAACCCAGAAAGTCTCCAAGGAGCTATCAAGGCAGAGAAATTCCAGCATCCTAAGCCTAGACAAGAACTGTATCTCTTGTAGGGCTGGTGGTCTAACACTGGTGGCTTGCAAAATTGGAACACTAGGTAGGGCCACCCGCCTCTGCTTGCCGCTGCCAAACATCCAAGTGCTCTGAACAGCAGAATTATACAGTGAAGGCCCAGCTGACAAAATCATGACATGAACCCACTGGCATCTCTCCAATGGAGGAGGCCCACATGGAGGGCAGTGGGAGTACTTGCTTTATGAACAGTCACTGTCCTTACTGTAAATTTCCTGTGAAGCCATAGCGCCCCTTTTCTATGGTGGGATTGAACCCCAAACTGCAGCAGTGTGTTGATTGTTTACTGGGCACATTTCCCCCAACACATTGGTATATTGGGTGACTCCCCCAGCAATGGGTGATTCTGGCAAGAAAGTAATCACAGTCAATACCCTTACTCTCTCAACCAGGTCTTTGTATAAACTTAGAAGTCTGCCCCCCTGCAGACAGATGGACAGTGTTGGTGTCCTGACAAAGAGACCTCAACTAAGACATTCACAGATGCCCAAGGACAAGAATTACGGTATGTCTGAAGTTGTTGACCATAGCTCTCAGAGAGGTAGAGAACAAGACTGTACCGGATTCTCTCTGCCAGCAGATAGGAAAGTGCTGTCCCAAGCTAATCTCACATTAACCTTAAAGCATGCCTGCCCTTCACTTGCCAGTCTACTAACAGTAGATATGTGTCTTAAAGTTGTCATTGGGTACTGTGCCCTCCATGTCTGGTCATGGCTTTGCTCCTATAGCCTCAGATCCTGTGTTGCCATGGCTCGGCCCTTATTGCTTGCTCTAGGAATGTGCTTTCAACCAATGAAAGAAACTTCTTCATCATTTCAAGGTTTCTGAAGGAAAAAAGTTTTTAGAATAGAAGAATCTAGAGGAAGAATAATGAAGAAGTTAGAAGTACGACATGGCTATTAGAGTAGAAACAGAACAATAAAGAGCATATGAAATAAAGAGCAGGGCCCTCAGATTGTGTGTGACGTTACTATAGAATTCTCTTACCCCTTCCTTTGTTCCTAGAAGCATTTCACCTTTGGAACCCTGGGTAGGAGCTGGAGCAGGTCTCTTAGCCCTTACACAGGGAACAGGGATCAGAAAGTGGTAAAGACCATTACAAGCTTCTTGATCAACTACGGTTTCTAACCCAACAGAGCAAAAAGATAACCCCCAACTATGTGCTGGTAACAGCAGGACCAGAATCTCTCTGAAGCATTCAACTACAGTGACAGAGAGTACATGGATTCACACCTTCTCTTCTTCTCAAGGATGCTGTGAATCTCACTCCAGGTCTCTTGTCCATCCCTCAGGATCAATGTGGCCATCTGTGCCTATGGAAGAGGTTAGATCAGAATGATTAGGAGGGTGGTTGTTAGAGCCTTGAATGAGACCTGGAGAGCCCACATGGTTCTGCCTGGTGGTGCTTCCTGGGATCCTATCACCCAGAATCAGGTACTTGTTTCAGTATCTCTTGTCTACATTGCTGAGGGAAACTTCCCTGCTCTTATAGGCTTGTTGTCCAGTAAATGTCTCATGCTGTTAACAGCATGAACAGGGCAGGGTAGGAAATGCTGATGGCTGGGAGGGGTCAGGGTTAAGAGCTTGAAGACTGTCAGCAAACAACAACAATAGCAACAATAATGATAATAAAGCATCCTCGAGAGATTTTTAGAGTTGAGTCAATATTCTGTTTGACTCCATTATGGTGGAGCCCATCATACATGCGTGAAATAGTGCATCCCAATGTGACCTGTGCTTTCTAGATCATGGTGGCATGTCTATGAAGGCTCATCCTTTGTGACAATGGAACATCTTACGGTACCACAGGAGGCTGCACACTGTGAGGCAGCAGGCATATGGGAAATTCTTGCATTTACTACTCAGTTCTACTGTGAAACTTAAGCCAATCTGAAAACCAAAGATCATTTTGTAAAAATTCCCCCCCAGGAGGGTCTTCCACTAACTGGCAGAACAACATCAGCACACAGAGGCAGAGGAGAAGTTGCTGGTCTCTCGTGAACATCCTTGCAAGTATCAGAAACCACTGGGGAGGAGGCGTGGTGGGTGGTTCATGCTGAGCCTTCCAGTCTGAGAGAGGCTGGTTCAGTTGTCTCCAGCAATGCTTGGCCTCATGCTGGGAGGCATGGATTGGGGGTTGTCTGCATCATCAGCACAGAGAATGGGGTTCTCTCCTCACTTGAGGTGAACATGAGGTAAGGCAGCAGTCCCTGACACCACCACAGAAATCAGCCTTCTGTAAAGTGGTTTAATAAGGATCGGGAGAAACAAATAGGCCGAATAGATGTTTATTCAGGGAGAAATAACTTACAACATAGACAGATGAACACCAGCAGGTTCCTGGTCCCAAGGATGCCTCCGGATGCTCTCCTGTCTGCGTGCTGCAAGCAAGAAAGTGCTCAAGGGCTCCTCAGACTTAGTTCCTCCAGGTCACTTCCGCCCCTGTCTCCACCCCCAATGGGCGTGGTCAGTGCCACTACACTTCTGTGTCCCTCCTTCACTGGGTATTCAGGGTTTACCCACCATGGTTCTCCAGCCTCATTTTCCTGTCTCTACACCTTCATGGACAGGGTGTTCTGCCTTTACTCACAGGTGACACTGAGCTGCATTGTCCTATCTACAGTCACACCAGCTCCAGGGAAGGTCACCTGACAGGTGAGGTTGGTGCCATGGTTCTGAGGCCTGTGTGTGAGGCTTAGCACTAAGGAGAGAGGGGTCATTGGGCCCAGGGAGGTGAAGGCAGTTGACATCCAGGAGATGGGAGGTGTCCTGCTCTCAGAGGCCCAGGGCACAGAGTAGGTCAGGTTTCTGGGACAGTTAGGTTCCAGGGTCCCCAGTGGAAGAATGTGTGTGTGTGTGTGTGTGTGTGTGGGTATATGTAAGGGCTAATGAGGAGAAGGGAACCATGTAGGATTAGGTTATGGGTGAGGTGCAGCTGTGAAGAAAGCCCTGGCTGTGATTTGGTTCCTGTGAGGGTCCTGATGCTCCCACCACAGCCACTTTCACAATGGGGTCCCATCCCAGGTCTGTCCTGTGGCTCCATGATGTTCCCAAATGTCGAGAGCCCACAACTCATCTGTCACACGCACCGACACATGCTTCCCACAGTAAGTCAGTCCATCATGAGCTTCCTTTCTCTCTCATGAAGGAGTAGGAACCATTGTCACCTCTTTGTGAATCTCTGATATCCAGGGAGCCCTTGAAGCTCTGCCTGTCCCCTACGAGGGGACTGTTCAGAGCACGGGGACACAGAGAGCCTCCGGTACCATCACCGTCTCCAACACTTCCAGCTTGTGTTTATTATCATCCTTGAACGCTGTGGCAGTAGGAGGCTAGGTCTGAGTGTCCTACCCACACCAAGAGCAGCACCAGGAGCAGCTGCACAGAGAAGGGTTCCTGGGCTTCTGTGAGTGAGTAGAGATGGGAGGTCACGTGCAAAGAAAGTGCTGCAGAATCCAATGAAGCTGGAGAGAAGCCAGAGACTTCAGTTCACAGAAGAGGAACTGCAGAGGGCTGGTGTTCTTCCCTGCACAGAGCAGTTGGAAACCCTGAGAGCCACCGAAGGAGAGAGTGGGGTAGACAGAGCAGCAGGAGGAGAGCAGGGGGAAGCGAAGGAGGTAGAGACAGGGAGGGAGAGTAGGGATCCTACCACCAGATACGAGGCACAGATCAGGCCCTCCCACTCGGAGTGGCCATTTTTCATTCCTTGCAGTGCTGTGGATCCAGCCCAGGGTCTTTTGTAAACACTCAACCACTAGCCCTTTGGTGGTTTTGATACTTGACATTCTTAGGTAGATCGGGCTGGTCTTGAGCTAGCTTTCTTCCATTTAGCCTCTCTACTGCAGGGATTACAGGCACCTACCACACTCAATTTCTTTTTCTTACTGGTTTAACTTGTTCTTTGGCATACAGGTTTAGAGCTATTCACTGGGGCCTGGTGGGCACACCCTTGTGTACTCAAATGAAGACAGTTGTCCTCTTCCCAACTCCATCATAGAAAACAGCTCTGCAATAGTTTGGGTTCCTGTTGCTCTAATAAAACACTGTGACTGGCAGCTACTTGGGGAGGAAAGCATTTCATTCATCTTATAACATTTAGGCTATACTCTATCACTGAGGGAGATCAGGGCAAGAACTCAAGGTAGGAACCTGGAGGCAGGAACTAAAACAGAGGCCATGCATAAATGTTGCTTACTGGTTTCAGCTTCTTCCTTGCTCAGCCTGCTTTCTCATTACAACCCCAGGACTACCTGCCCAGGGATGGCATCTCCCTCTGTGGGCTGAACCCTCCCCATCAATCATCAATCATCAATTTAAAAAAGTGTCCCATAGACCAGTCTGTTGGAAGCAGTTCCTCAGTTCAGGTTACCTTTCTCGGATGACTCTTATTTGTGTCAAGTTGACAAAAACTAACCAACATAAAGGGCTAGGTCCCCATATATCAATTCCTGGTCTGTGACTGACTATGGAAAGGCCCCATCTCATACTGGCCCAGTGCATGCAACCATGGCTGCTGTGACTGCTTATATGTGATGGCTGTGTCATGCCTTGAAGTCAGCATTTTGCTACACCACACTCAACTTCTGAGCGACCTCCTGTGCACAACTGTTTATAGCATGGGCTGGGGCCCTCATACCCGGCCTCACAGTGTCACTCTACACTCATCAGGTGGTAGGTACTTAAGGATGCAGGATGCTGTAGGGTTGCCGTGACTGTCTTAGCAGAGGATGGGCTGGGATAACTAAAGCCTGCATTTATTCACTCATCCATTAATCAAACATACAGTGTGCTCTGAACATTGGTCAAGGGGCTGCCACATTCTGGTCCCTGTCCACAGATCGTGGGCATTACCTTAAGAACCTGATCTCAGTGTCCAGTGTGCAGAGTCAGAGACAGAGTCGCCGGTCCTTGTGTCTGTGGCTAGTGGAATTTCCACCATCAAGCTCTCTGCGGCAGCTGTGCCCTGTCACAGTCTCAGCAGTGGTACCTGACGTTTCAGTTCCTCCATCCCCTTCAGAACTTGTCAGTTCCTATTTTTAGCCATTGGTCTTGAAGTGGGTGTGAAGTAATGTCTCGCTGTGGCTTTAAATTGTTATTGGCGTAAGTCATGCATAGTGCTTTTCCTCTCATTTGCCCCTCAGTTGCCTTTCCTTCTGTCTTCCTCCCATCAGCATCTCTAATGATTGTTCTACTTTCACATCATTTTACTTTTTCTAGATTCTGCACATAACAGAAAAGAATTTTACACCTGAAGTTCTTAGTCTGGCTTATTTTACCTAAGAGGATGATGCTCCCTTGTCTCTCCCCTCCCCCCACACATACATCATGTTTTTATTATGTTACAATGCAAACCACATTGTTATTGTGCTTTTGGTTTTGTTTTTAAATTTTATTTCTTTTATGTGCATTGGTGTTTTGCCATGGGTGTCAGGTCCCCTGGAACTGTAGTTTCAGACAGCTGTGAGCTGCCATGTGGGTGCTGGGAATCCCAGGTCCTTTGGAAGAGCAGTTGATGATCTTAACCGATGAACCGTCTCTTCTCTTCGGCTTGTTTTTTTTTTTCATTTCCTCAAAAAGCTCTATCTTATTATTGTTGTGTGTGCACACATGCATCCCATGAAGCATGTTGAAGTCAGGGGATGACTTGTGGCCCTTAACTTCTACCAGTTTGAGGAATTAAGCTTAAGTTTAAGCTCACATCTTCACACTTGCATGGGAAAGACTTTTACCCCATGAGCCAACTCACTGACTACTTTTTGTTTGTTTTTCAGACAGGGTTTCACATATCCCAGGCTGGCCTTGAACTCTCTATAGCCAAGGATAAACTCAAACTTCTGATTCTTCATTTCCCAAGTGCTAAAATCACAAGGGTGTGCTGCCACACATGTTGTATGTGATTCTGAGGACAGAATCCAGGCTCCGTACATCCTAGACAAGCACTCTGCCAACTGAGCTACACCCTCAGCCTCCATTTGATAGTTCTGACTTGCATATCTTTTAAAACTATTCATTTAGTGTGTGTGTGTGTGTGTGTGTGTGTGTGTGTGTGTGTGTGTGTGTGTGCTTCCTATGTGTATGCCATATGTGTTCTGGTACTTGTACAATGCAGAAGAGGGTGTCAGATCCCTGGGATCTGGAGTTGTAAGAGGTTGTGAGCAGGCAGATGCAGGTGCTGGGAATGGAACCTGGGTCTGATGAGGAGACATATGTACTCTTAATTATTGAGCCATCTCTCTAGCACTGTGGCTTGCATTTCTAATGACCAGTGAGCTTGAGCCTTTTGGCATGTGTATATTGCCCATGTATGTATCTTCAGACAGAAGTCTATTTAAAACCCTGAACTGTTTTTAAAAGGTGTTGTTCCTGTGTTGATGAGTGGCTGGTTTTGAAAAAAGAAAATACACTGAAGTTATTATTTTTTTTGTTTGCTTGTATTTTTCTAAAGAAAAGATCTCATTTCTCATTCTGGTTTTGAAATTCCTATATATCTAAAGAAGACAAAAAGCCCACCCCACCACCCCCAAGACAGAATTACAGATCAATTTTCCTGATGAACATAGATGCAAAAATACTCAACAAAATACTTGCAAACTGAATTCGAGAACACATCAAAAAGATCATCCACCATGATCAAGCAGGCTTCATTCCAAAGATGAAGGAGTGCATCATCATATGAAAATAAATAAATATAATCTACTACATTAAGAAAATGAAAGAATAAACACATAGTCATCTTATTAAATGTAGAAAAGTCTTTTGACAAAACCCAACACCACTTCATGATAAAAGTCCTCAAGAGATTTGGGAGGGATATAAGGGACAAACTTAAACATAATAAAAAGGCTTTACAGCAAGCCTATAGCCAAAATCAAATTAAATGGAGAGAAATTCAAAGCAATTCCACCCAAGTCAGGAACAAGACAAGGATGTCCACTCTCTCCATATCTACTGAATATAGTACTTGAAGTTCTAGCTAGAGCACTAAGACAACTGAAGGAGATCAAGAGGAAGATACAAATTGGAAAGAAAGGAATCAGAGTATTGTTATTTGCAGATGACATGATAGTATGCATAATTAACCCCCAAAATTCTACCAGCAAATAAACACCTTCAATGAACTTTCTAGATACAAGATTAAGGAAAAAAAATCTGTAGCCCTTCTATGTAAAATGGCAAATAGACTGAGAAAGAAATCAAGGAACAACACACTTCACAATAGCCCAAACAATATTATAGTATAACCCTAATCAAGCAAGTAGAAGACTTGTATGATGAAAACTTCAAGTCTTTGAAGAAAGAAATTGAAGAAGATATCAGTTATTTCCCATGCTATGGATCTGTAGAATTAGCGTAGTAAAAATGACCACCCTACAGATTCAATACAATCCCCATTAAAATCCCAACACAATTCTTTACAAACACTGAAGAACAATACTCAATTTCACATGGAAAAACAAAACAAAACAAACAAACACAAACCCAGATATCTAAAACAATCCTAATCAATAAAAGAACTCTGGAGGTATCATTATCCCTGATTTCAGCTTGTACTACAGAGCTATAGTAATAAAAACTGCATGGTATTGGCATAAAAAACAAAGTTAATCAATGGAACTGAAAATCCACACACCTATGGACACCTGATTTTTGACAAAGAAACCAGAAATACACAATGGAAAAAAAGGAAGCATCTCCAACAAATGGTGCTGGTCTAACTGAATTTGTCAATGTAGAAGAATGCAAATAGACCCATATCTATCACCCCCGCACAAAACTCAAATCCAAAGTGATTCAAAGACTTCAACATAAAACAACACATACTGAGTCCAGCAGAAGAGAAAGCAACATATAGCCTTGAATGCATTGGCACAAGAGATAATTTCGTTAGCAGAACACCAATAGCACTAAAATTGACCATTAAAAAATGGGACCTCATGAAATTGAAAAGCTTTTATAAGACATAGGATACTATTGTTTGTTTTTTGTTTTTGTTTTTATTTTTAGTTTTGGCTTTTTTGTTTGTTTGTTTTTTGAGGATAGAAGGACTGGTTCTTTATTTCAAAATGTCGCTTGTTGATACTCAGTATCAAAACAGTTGCACTATGGGGTCCTTTCTCAGGTCAGAGGAAAGTACAAATAAGCCAGTAAGCTGCACCGTGCCCACCTAACAGGCCTCAAAGAGACTGCCTGAACATGGCAATTAGGTGGGGACAACTTGAGAGATCAGCCCACAGACTGCAAAGAATTCTCACAGCCCAACCCCCAAAAGCAAAATTTCAAAGTAATAGAAAATTTAAAAAGTTTTCTTTACCTAAGCTATTCAAGATTTCTCCAGCACGAACTGATACAAAGCACAATGAGATGGCACTTTAGAGACAGCGGCTTCGGGAATGGTGATCAGTGGCACATAGTTTTCCTTTTCTGGGGTCGGGCACGGACACAATAAGTGGTCACCTCAACATCAAGGGACAACATGGTCCATTCTGTGAGCAATTAGGAAAGGGGGAGATGAGACAAGCTTGGTCTCAGCGCTAGGCCGCACAGTAGCATGCTCGCCTAGCATGCACATGGCCCTGGGAGGTGGCGGTGTCTCAGACAGCTCACCATCTTATTTGGTCACATCTAATGGAAAAAGGTAAAAAGTAAAAACAAGGTTATGAAAGACCCCCAGAGACCCCAAGAGTTTGGAGCCTGTCAGGGGGAAGGCCCTTGCCCCCAAGAGACAAGCCCAGACCACTGGATGCAAGTGCAAGAGGTTGTTTATTGTTTACACAGGTACCTGTGGACGCTTCAGTCTTTCAGGGGGACTGAGCGTGCTGAGGTTAAAACTCAGGCAGTTTATATAGGGTTGGGGTGGCAAGAAGCAGGCTTACAGAAGCAGAAGCATGGTTACAGGGATTTCATTGTTTCATCTAAATGTAGCAGTTGTAGTTAACCAAGGACAGTTGGTTATTCGGGTTGGGCACAAAGAATACAAAGAATTCAGTTATGACTATCTCAGCATACTGGACACTGTCCTGCTGACCTTGCTTTGGTCCAAGCTGCAGACCACAGATATCTGGTTGGCGTTGGATGAGAGCAGCACCTGGTTCCCTCCTGTACTTTTCTCATAACTTGGCAAATTAGCAAGAGCAATTTAAACAGGCAATAAGCATAGTGGGGGTCTTTCAGTTAAAGTTATTCAAAGATATCAAAGCTGAAAACCTTCACAGCCAAGCAGAGGTTTTTGTTTTTGGCTAACTTCTAGATCCCCTGTTGTTTGGCTAGGACTTGGTGAGGAGAACTGAGGTTTCCTGCAGGGGAGCCTGCCTGGGCTCTGTAGGCTGTCAGCGAGGCAGGGCAAGTCCTGTGTTCCTCCTCGATAGAGAGAGCAGAGTCCATTAGGCTGAAATGTCACCTTTCAAGAGTGAAAAGGAGCTGGGTTGCTGCTCCAAGCTGTGGAAGTGCTTGGAATGTTACAAATGGTTGCTAAGACAAAAAGTAATCACAATGTGCATATCCCAAGTGCACTGAAGACACCGCATTGTACTCACATTCCCTTAAGTATTGTTCCCAAGTGTGCTCAGCCCCTCCAGCTGGAACTCTGCGAAGAGGCAGACACAGTTTTGTGAAAAAGACATGATGGGGTAGAGGGGGTTGGCAGGAGGGGAAAGCAGCCTTCAGTTAAAAAGATCAGCCCTCAGCTTCAAGGTCAGCCTCAAGCAGGCTGGCCTCAGGCAAAGTCAGCGTCAGAGGGTGGATCAGACTCAGGGCGCTCTACATCTCGTTTAGTTCCAGCAGAGCCTGGTCCAGCATCCTTTGTGTACACAGGTGCACCTCTTTGGTGCACTTCCGCTTATCTTCCAAGT